ATACATTCCTCTCACTTTGTGCCTGTACCGTCACCACATTCATTTTTTCCCAAGCTGTTGATAAACATGTAGGTTAGAATTTCCTTTTTATAATTCTCGTCCAGCGAGATCTTCCAGAAAAAATTTGACATGGTGCACATTGCGAACTCAACACTTGCGGGTGGTGTCGCTATCGGTTCTGTTGCAAACGTGGTGCTCGAACCGCTGCATGCTATGTTGATGGGTGTAGCAGCTGGAGCTCTGTCTGTCGTTGGATACAAATATATTACAGTATGCAGTTACATGCCAAAAAGCGTCAAAAAACACAAAGGTCTAATTTGTTCCTTTAAGCCAACGCTTAGCAGCAAATATGGTTGCCATGATACATGCGGCGTGAACAATCTACATGGCATGCCAGGAGTTTTTGCTGGATTGATGTCAGCCTTCTTTGTTGTGGCGTACGACCCAGCACGATATGGAAAAAGGTGTTTTTTAGTTCAAGAACAGAAGAAAGTGGAGATTGAAGTGCTACGTTAGAGCATAGTTCTACAAGTTCTAAACATGAATGGGATGAGAATATTACCTGATATGAGTCTCTTGCATTTTGCGCAAGGCTCAAGGTAAAAATTTACAATTACCAATGATAAGAACACATTAGTTTTCGTAACATATATAGTTGCATCTCATCAAAAATTAGAGAATCTTTTCGACTTACAAGGAGAAACTTGAACGAAATAGTTGAAGAATAACTACTTCGTTTAACTGAAACCTGGGTATTTGAGTCCTGGAAGTTCGTCTGTCTCCAATCAAGCGTTTTAGGCCACCGAACACTTCTTCTACTTCGCGTATTTGACTTATCTATTGTGGCTATTGCAAAACTCCAAACTGATGTTTCCACTCACCGGCTGTTCCGCTAACAAGCGTAGCAGTGCTAGCTCAGTGCTGGTCTAAGGATGGCTATAACTGCAATAAGCGGTCCAAAATTAGCTGGACTCGCTTGAATAGTCTTGTTCTAGCTCGCAGAATGGTATATACGGCATTAGATTACTTTTATAGACAACTGTTCATTCTTGCTATTCAACTAAGGATTAAGCACAAGAATTTACGATGCCAACACTTTTCGAGCAGAGTTATTCTCGTCATACGCCACATCTTACATTTTATGTCTCCATCGTGATTTTCTTTTCTGTGCTTCCCAGAAGATTCACGAGCTCTGTCGTCTCTTGCTTCCTAGTGTTCATTCACGTACTGAAAGTGATCGACCGGATTCGCCTACGTGAATGGCATTGCATGTTTGACACTCCATTTCGTAGACTACTC